TTTATACTTCTTCGACATTTCCACGTGTATAAATGTTAAAATTCATGAGTTCAAAAGTTAATCTAAATGTAAATATTTGACCTCATCTATTAATATTTTAAAAATACATCAACAATTGTCATGATGATAATTATTGAGTATTTTTTTCTTTTGAGTATTTTTATTAGACATTTCTTACAGAAAATTATTTAAGTTTGGGGGAGGGAGAGTATTTGTAATTACTGTCGCAGTAAAAAAAATGACATTGGTCAATTAAAAGAAAAACGAGTTCTAATACATATTTTTAGAATATGTAGTTAAAATGTATTAGGTATAACTCAATAGTAACTTTGACTCTTAATAATTGGACCACTTTTTTTATTTTTATGTTTTTTTAATTGACAAAATCTATTTTAAGTGATGAAGGATAATTTATCTACTCCTGAATAAGGTCTCTATTATGTTGAAAATCATTTGGTTGTTATAATTTCGTAATGGAATATGATAGCTGGGTGCAGGATTTTTTTACTTCTGAAATAACGTGTCACATTCGTGAACAAGTGTCTCAGTTTCTATAAAAACCATTTTATAAAGTTTAAAATTAAACGGAAACAAGAAATGGAACCTAATATGGTAAGTCGATGAGAAATAGTAAGCAATCCCGAAAAGGAAATCCGTTGCATGTAAGGTATGATAAAAAACTGAAATAAGCGTGTCTTCAAGGTAACTTATCTAAAAACATCTTTACATAATAATGCTGCTGAGTTCATGATAAAATAGTATCTTTATCGACTTTCTAAATTGGGCATTCCTCACAAGGATATATTATCCTAATAACTCTAAGCTCATAGACAACAGTGAAATTACCCTTGGTTATGCATACATCTCTTAAGCAAATGAAATGGAATTAAATTAAACTAAAAATTTTAAATCTAGTTTCATTAAATTTACATTATTATTAGAAAATATATTTTAGTGCAGAATAATTGGTAGGAAGATGATGGATTGGCATTGCAATGCTCTCTCTCTCTCTAGGAAAAGTGGACTGAACACAATGCCCTTCAATTAATCATATGATAGAAATGAAAATACATACTTAATTACCTGCATACAGTATTCAAAAGTCTTCTACATCATTGAATAATCGGAGTTTAATTAAAGCAATATCTATTAAATATCTCTGTGCTTTTTATTAAATCTGATGCTAGTCGAAAAATATCCAACATCAAAAGAAACCTTTGTAGCTAACGTCCTGTATGGAGGTTTCTCTCATATCTAATATTAGCAAAATTTAACCGGGCAAGATATAAAATACGAAAAAGAGAAAAAGAAACGAAGAAATCGACGCTCAATTGGTAAAGATTGTCAAGTGAAGTAAGTACGACGAATTATAGTGAGCATCCACAATACAACAAAATCATTTTGTGAGAAACACCAGTGGCAAAATACAAACGACGAAATTGATTTGCATCCTATCTTTTAAGTAAAAATCAAGAGAAAACAAACAATTGCTATTAGCTATCAATTTTATTCTCTGTACGGTACCTAATTGGAGAAAGTTGCACTAAGGTAAATTGGTAAGAATTTTTTAAAAGTTCTTGGCATGTTCAAATAATCGTTTCTTATTTTTCGGATATGGAAGAGGAAAACCAAATTTTTGAATAGATATTCGTGATGGAGACGGAAGGCCGTAGTGGTTCAAAGATTCGTTTAAACTTTTGGTAAAGAACATGTGAGAACCAATTTAGGAAATAACAGGTTGGTGTTCCGATTTTTACTTCCCGTTCCCATACACAACCAGGTGGGAGAAGCTAAGTGAACTAAAATCCCATTTATCGTTACTTTTGCCTAATTTAATTATTTGTTTTCTTAATACAGCAACTTCAAAAAATATCATATAAGTGCTTTAACAATACGTTATTTTTATTTGGTGCAGTAATAGTTCATAGGTAAAAAGAAACGATTGGGTCCGATTTATTCCGGTTTTCAACAAATTTTAAACTTTTGTAATTATTGTTACCGGAATTTTATTATTCCCGGGTTTGTAGTTGTTTAGTAATTTTTATATGACGTAATTCAACTCTTGAGAGTATCAAAATTAGTTGCTGCTTATCTCTATTCATTAATGTAAAGAATTAATGTACAGTTAATGAATAAGGTTCTAACCAATGCTGCCAAGATAATTATATTCTTACATTGTTGTTTATTCGTCATTTTATGCTTCTTGTTTAGCTCATTTGAACTCACTGCAGTCGCAAGAAAACGTTTACATCCTATTTAGTAACATCTTATCACATTTAAATTACATTGCGTAAAAATCAATAAAAAGCAATTGTGAATTTATGTGCTGTGGTAGTACTTGTCCTCAGAAAATGTTGTCAAATTACATTTTAGGAAAGTATTTAGGTTAGCCATACCTACAATACCTCGTAATTTGGATAAAATGCTAGAGTCGCTCTAGCCATATGGGGGGAATAGGTTGGTACATGCATTCATTTCAACTAATGCTTTGATATTACGTCAAAATTAGATTATTTGTTAATTACTTCAATTGAACATTTTTTCAAAAGAAAACATGAAAAATATTAAAATAGCCATCCGCATATTTCCCTATTTAGAAGTTTTGGGTTTACCAATAAAATTATAATCCTTGTATACTCAACATTGGAAAAACAGAATAGCGCTGTCTTTCCTATTCGAAACATATTGAGAATAAATAAATGTTTGACATCAAAAATTAATTTGTTCGTATTTTACAAATTTTAAAATTAAAATTAATAATAATTATCCACATTTTAAATATGCTTTTAAATTTTCTTAATAATTATATCCAAAAACCAATGTGACACTATGTTTGACTATGCAAATTTGGCTACTATCGAAAACTAGCAATAGAAAAAAAGAACTTTTAAAAAACTTAAAGTTCTAAAAATTCTTATTCCGAAGAGTATCTTACCCTCATGGTTCTGCTCTTTAATGAATAAATATTAGCCTGTCGTCTACCCGAAGGTTCTTTATGGTAATTTTGGCCCTGTCAAAGTTTTGTGATTTAATTTGATTATCAAGTATCACATGATTTATGAACCAGATTTATAACTTAATTTGGTGTGGAACTGAAACTGACAGACAGGTCTGTCATTCTGATGATAATAGTTTACCTCACGAAGCTCGATTGATAATTAGCATTAATTATTCAAGTATGATTCAATCTAGGAATCAATACATATCTATTCCATGATTATTAGAGTAGTGACACTCTTTGTAATTTAATAGTAATACAACAGCTTGTAAATTCCCATTATATTTGGTTTAACTTAAAAGTAACCTGATACTGTTACTTTTATTAAATACATTTTGAGGTTTTGTAATCTTTTTGTTAAAATATTTATATTTTGTAGTCAAGAAAAATGTTTAAGAGTCTTTAGGTGTCATGAATAAAAAAATTTTCAAACCTCCAATTTAAAACAAAAAGGTATAATCTGAATTATACATACAAATGGAAAAAATGTTTAAATCATAAGTACAAATTCCACAAATATAGAGTTTACTTAAAACAGAAGTAGAAGTCTAAAAATCCTGTAGATAGAAACCCATGACTAACATATAATAAATAACTAATTACTGACCAGCTAACAATTAATGGAATGATTAAAATTCCAAGTTTAAATGAAACCAATACCAGATGTCATTAAAGAATTTTGAACATGAAATAATGGCGATTTCTATCAATACTTACTTTAGATATACATTTGATAATTTTTCAATTGTTCTTAATGATATGAATGTTCCTAAGCTTACATTTGCATATGGCTAACACACTAATCCAGAAACATAAAGAATGACCAAGAAAACAAAGAAAACTTTGAACATATGTTAATAATTCATCAAATATTATGAATTGTTTGAATTCTTTTTGTTAAATGTAAACCTCTATTTTCAATATAGGACAATAAATATGTTAACCATAACTTGTATAGCAAGACGCAAAGATTTTTTGGCCAAGTGAAACTGAAAAAAATTATATTAAATGGTTAATGTCTTGAAATATAGTAGTAATATATTTTCAATTATAATTAGAGAACATGAATCATATATCCAGGTACAATGTTTTCAGAAGTTGCACATAAATATTCAACTTGGAAACTGTGATTGAGTCCAAAATTTCTGACTTGAGTGATTTCACCTCTTTCTTTATACATAGAGATGGACGATTGGAAAACCAAAAACAGTATTCCTTATATTTATTATGATTATTTTTAATATTGGCATCGGTCCCTACAAAAAGGGATCCTTCAAGTTAGGCTTACAAGATCTAAATCTAAAATAAAAAAGTTTCATGAAGACTTACTTGTTACAAACTCTACGTCTTTTAGCGGAAAGAGGGGGGACCAGTTGATTTCTGCTGTTGAGAATATTAATAGATAGGATATACTTTATTGGAAACTGCAATTTTAAACTTGTCAACAAAATGGTTTGTTTTGGATAGACGCTTATTCTATGTCTTATTTGTAGTACCCTTTTGATAGCGAAATACTTTTCCAAAACTAAGGGAGGGTAAGATCAGTCGTTATCCGGATAATCGAAAAATACTTCTTTGGATTCGTCACGTGTATGACAAATTTTCATACACACGTGACAGAGATGTAGTTTCTTATAGAATAATCATTTTAAACGTAAATATTTTAAAGCTCATCCAAAATAAGAAATTTCATGATGAAAAAAATAAAAATTTTATAATTTATGCGATGAGATGAGCTCTCTTTCAGTTCTGTATTGCAATGTTTAATTGAACTTTACTGATTGATTATAAACTGTTGGTTAACTCATTGATTTAACTTCACCAAAATATCGTTATTTTATCTGAATATTATCAGATATTGTATTTAAAGAATAGTTTTATTGAAATAGATCAATAAATAAGAAGTTGTATTGAATTATTTCCGTGAGTATTCGCATCTCTCTCTTTTTACATTGACATCGATATATCTCATAGTTCAAATTACTTATTCTAATAATTCAAAATGTCTTCATCACAATTAAATTCCAATCCTGAAATTTTACTTCGTAAGAGAAGAAATGCTGATAGAACTAGATTAGAAAAGCAAGAACTATCAAAAGCTAGAAAGATTGAACAAGATAAAAAGAGAAGACTAAATAAAAATAAATTCGTCAGAATTGAAAAATTAGTTACAAACACTTTAGCTACTGAAAGAGAAAAGGAAAGAATCAAAAGAATTTCAAAATTAGAATTGAAAAAATCTAAAAACGAATTAGATCATTTGCCAACTGATAAAAATTTTATTTTAAAAATTACTGAAAGAGATAATTCTCAATCAGTAGATGAAGATATTAAAGTTGATGATGAAGAGGAAAACGACTTGATTAAAGAAAAAGTTATATATGATGGTGAAGAAACTTTGTTATTTGTTATAAGAGTTAAAGGTCCAAATTCTGTCAAGTTACCAAGTAAAGTTTTCAAGATTTTATCATTATTAAGATTAGTTGATGTAAATACTGGTGTTTTCATTAAATTAACTGAAAATGTTTTCCCATTATTAAAAATTATTTCACCATATGTCATTACTGGTAGACCATCATTATCATCAATTAGATCATTAATACAAAAAAGAAGTAGAATCCTAATTTCTGAAAATGATGAACAAAAAGAAGTTATCTTAAATGATAATAATGTCATTGAAGATAAATTAGGTTCTGAAGGTATTATCTGTATGGAAGATATAATTCACGAAATCTCAACCTTAGGTGATTCATTCCAAACTGTTAATTTTTTCCTGCAACCATTTAGATTGAGTAGAGAAGTCTCAGGTTTTTCAGCACTAAGTAAATTGAATAAACTAAAGCAAAAAGAAGACCAATCTAAACTAAGTCAATCCTCAAATTCATCTACAGCTCCAATTGTCCAAGTTGATATCGATGCATTGATTAGTAAATTAAACTAATATGTTTAATACTTTAATCTAATAAAGACCATTAAATAAATACTTAAACATTCATTGCCATCAAGGCAGAAAAAGAAAAAAAGATATTATAAATTTGTTTGTACATTATTATACTAAGTATACTTTTATAAAAAATTAATATTTGAATCGAAAGTGACTTATTAGTTTCAAAACTGTCGTATAAACTAGAAACTACCCTACCTTGCTTCCTTATACTCCTTCTCCTCCTCTCTTCCTACCAGGTGTCACTTACCAGTTCCAGATATTCTGATATCGACTCTCTATCTATCTATCTATCTATCTATCTACTCACGCCAGAAAACATATATTTCCAACTCAATTTTATGTAAACAAGAGTTCATGTATCTTTTCAATTGACACTACATACATTTTTCCATTACTAGGTGAACTGTCCCCTTTGGTAGTTAGAGTTGTCAAACTAATTGGGACTGGTTATTATCGATAAAAATCCTTTTTAAAGGAAAATCGATAGACAGCTAAGACAAGGAAGGACAAGACAAGGAAAGACAAGACAAGACGAGACAAGACAATACAAGACAAACCACATCTGAGTAAGAGACATAAGGTTCCTTTCGGATATCCCTTCCCTCTTTCCCCATCCTACTTTTCAGTTTCGAATTTAGAGGTCGAGTTTTTATGCGACATTTCTTTAGACTTTTCATGTTTCGAACGATAATTTCGAAACTGGATTAATTAACCATTTTACTTATTTAAAGAATGTTGTAAATAAAGAGACTACATTTTTAGAATCATTCTTATATATGATGAATTTTGTAATTGAATTTAGTTTATTTAAATTAAGACCTGTAACAATTGTTACATGTAGAGCTTGAATAGCAAGTAAGGCTAAAATATCTACATTATTTGGAGGTGGTGATAATCATTGAGGGTGTGTAATATTAATTGGAAAAGCGTCTCATTTTTGTTCAAAATTTCTGTCAGCTTTGAATGATAGAAACAAAAATTGAGGTTTATATTTAAGTTTCCTTTATTACAACCTATATGCTCTATCTTATTTTTAATTTATTTGACTTAATTCAGCTGTTAGAGTACAATTTACTTCAATTGAATTTATAATATTAATACAAAGATATTGAGGTGTTAAGATAAAATTCTTAGGTTTAAGGGTATTTTTATCTTTTTTTATTCAACTTTTTTTTTGGACTACTATTTATTTAGTTATCTATTCCTATTTACACTTCTAATTGTCTTGTAAAGCTTTGAATGTTTGGTTTGAAATTAACACGTAAGGACAATTACTCACCAAAGAGTCCTGTATCAGTTTCAGATATTTCGACTCCATCAGCGAGGTTTAGCGATGATTCAAAAAGCTCAAAAAATTCATCTCCAAGGAAACATAAGGATCATCATGGTTCGAAGATTACCACTCCAACAAATGGCAACAAAAATTCAAACCATGGCGTAAAAGATTTGTCTTCTCCAGAAAAGGTAATAAAAGCATTACATTCTCATACTTCAACTTCATCAAAGGGTCTATCTTATTCAAAAGGTGATTTCTTTTATGTAATTAGTGAAACTGAAAGGTCTTACAAAGCAACAAATCCAATTACTGGTTTAATTGGTAAAGTTTCAAAAAAAGATTTTGAGGTGTTTAATAGGACAAGACCTTTATCGCCTTCAATAACAAACACTAGTCTGAAATCTTCAGTTTCAGATTCGGATTCTTATGATGATGATAGTCTAAAATTTGGTTCATTATCCGGTATTGTACTTTATGACTTCAAGCCTGAAAGACCCGATGAGCTTGAAGCAAATGCTGGTGATAAAATTACTATTTATGCTCATCATAATGATGAATGGTTCATTGCCAGTCATACAGACAGCTCAGGCAAACCTTATTTAATACCAATTGATTTTGTTAGTATCATTGATCCAATAACTGGCTATGCTAGTAGCTCAACCATTAAAAATGATATAGAATCAGTAAACTTACCAACTGTGGAAGTGTGGAAGAAGGGAGTACTGCAAGTTCAATCAAGAAGTACAAGCATGATTTCTGAGGATGAACATTCCGTTATGAGTTCAGATTATGATGGTATGTATTCCACTGGTGTTGAATCTGTTAGTTACGAGGGGGATTATTATTGGTTCCAAGTTAGATGCGAACTTTATAGCGGTAAAGTGAGAACGTTGAAAAGAACTTATGATGATTGCTATAAATTCTATAGAAGGTTGACTGATTTGTTTCCATCAGAAGCAGGAGCTATAATTGATTCGAATGGTAAAAGATCAAAAAGGATTTTGCCTATTTTACCTAGACGTGTGAATGACTTAAATGAAGCGATGGCATTCCAAATCAAAGACCAGCTCAATGAATTTATGAATGAATTGGTGAATTTACCTGATAGGATTACCACGTCTTCAGTTGTTACATCATTTTTTAAAATAAAGAATAATGGATTTGATGAGGAAAAGGTTTTACGTAAAATTGATAAGCCATCAAAATCAAGGAGATCGATTGCTTCAAACAGGGAAAGTAAAGATTATTTAAAATTTCAAAATAGCGCCAGAACAGTCTCGAATTTTTTATCTAAACATAAGAGACAAATATCTGACGCAATGAAAATTGAGGACACTGAAAATATTTTGACTGGGGAAGATTTAAGATTATTTGAAAGACTCTCAACAGTTAGTATATCGACTAGTGGATCAGACGCTCATAGGAACCCAGCAAATGAAGGAAAGCAAAGGATAAAGATATATTATAATGATGATATTTTTGCCCTTCGATTAAGTCCTGATACTAAGTTATCAGATTTAACTGAGGAAATAAAAAGGAGAATTGAGAAAGGACCTTTTATCTTAAAAGTAAAATCACAAGATTCAGACGGTGAAAAGATTGATACTGATCAGAAGGTAAAAAAAGCCATTGAAAACAAGGCAAGAATAGTGGTTCGTGGAATTTGAGTTATATAATATGGGGAAAATTATGATTATTAGAGCGAACTTTATTTCATAACATCAATTTATCATATGCTTTAAGTAAATACAATATATAACTGTAACATTAAAAATGCATAACTAAGTACGTGAAAGGTATTCGACAATATTTAAGATATTTTTCTTAGAATTTTCATTCACTTCAGGGATATATCCATCATTCATTATCATTTGAGAGATATTTTTGATAGCCTCTGAAGTGTATGCAATTGAATAACTTTTATTCTCTAGATAATCCACTGCTTCTTTTTTAATGTCAAAGTCCATCGTTTTCGATTTAATAATGTCTACTAATTTTCTGTCTTTGCCTTCTTTTAATTCAAATTTGACACCATGAATAATTGGAAATGAAAGTTTGCCTTCTGATATATCCTCAGCATAACCTTTTTTTTCAATCATATTTTGATCTGTTAAATTTTGTAAGTCATCTCTAACTTGGTATAAAATTCCCAATAAATTTGCCAAAGGTACCAAAGATTTCGAATCCTTTGAATTTCCATTCAAGGTTTCCATGATTCTGACCGCTAGTCTGAATAATCCACCTGTTTTATTCATAACCATATTAAAATACATATCTTCATCAGGTATTATTTCAGGGAAGGTATCTCTCCAATATATATCTAATGCTTGTCCTCTGTGTAAATTTATCAATTCTTCATTAAATATAATCATCAATTCTTTCAATAATACATTATGATCAATCTGCGGTGAATCCTTTATATGTAATTTTGAAATATCTTGGAGAACTTCCATAGCTTTAAAATACATATAATTAGCAGAGTTAATTGTCATCGGTATACCATATTTTAAATGTGCAGTTTCCATACCTCTTCTAATAACTGAATTATCTTCAATATCATCGATTAATAAGCTTGCAGTATGTAAAATTCCAACTAATTTATCAATCAACAATATTTGTTCTTCATCAAGACCATAGAATTGATTAAATGTTTTAACTAGTAATGATCTGAAATTCTTACCAGGTTGTTGTGCTAAATAATTATACGGTGACTGAACTATATCTTCATAGTCACTTGACCATATTGGTTTGCCTTCAACTAAAGTTTTAATATCTACCATTAAGAAGAATCAATAATTAGATATCTATGTTTTATATATCCCTGCTTAACCTTTTATGTGTATAAAGTCTTATTATCAATAAATAAGATCAAGGAGTAATATGTCCATTTATAAATACATGTACCTATTGTCATTAGTGACACTTTCTGAAATCAAATTCAGTTTCGAAACTCGAAATATCTTTTCTTTTAAGTATTCGATTCGATGTTTTAAAGGTTTCCCTTTCTCGTAAAGGTGAGAGTGAAAAAAAGAATCACGTGATTTTGGTGATTTTTAAAATTGGGCGTATAACGAACTAACTTTAGCAATTAGAAATAGGTTTGTTATATATCAATGTTAATGGTCAACGATTGAAGGTTAAGGAAAGAGTATTGGATTGAAATATTAATTGTGGTTGTGATTGCGATCGTAATTATAACCCAGACTGTTGCTTACAGGAGGATAAGTTTAGTCGAAGTTTGCAAGGAGCCAAAAGGGTTTTTTTTTTGAGTTTGTTACAAGGAAGTGTGATCGATTGATTTATCGGGCTAATAATTTAGTTTACAATGGATGCTATTGTACAACACATCTTTGGTGATATACCTTTAGTGACAAAAATATGGACTATTGGCTGTTTAATAGAATCTATTATGATTAAAGCAGGTGCAATGGATAGGATGAAATTATTGTATAGTTTTGATCTTGTTTTCAAAAAGGGCCAATTCGAAAGAATTATTTTTTCATTATTTGACTATGGTGATTTTGCAATATCATCATTGGTGAACTTGTATTTTAGTACTTTACAATTATCAGATTTAGAAAATTCGTTCAATAATATTAGAAGATATCTATGGGTCACTTTCTTGATGACGTTAATGATAATATATATGACAATATTTACTCCGCCGGTTTATTCCTTAGGCACAATATTACATGATAATTTAACTTATTATCAATTACAAAAGAATGGAAATAGATTAAATTTACAACTATTAGGTGGCATTAACATTTCACCAATGTTAATACCTTTATACACCAATATGATAATGTATTTTGCTTATGACAAAAGTTTAGCACAGGTTACAATGATGTTTTTACCAGGCCATATTGTATATTATACCGATTGTGTTTTGAGTAAATTATATGATATAGATTTATTAAAGACTCCATATGATTGGTGGCAACTGGTACACACCACAACTGAAACTACAAGAGTTGATAATACTACTGGAGAAACCGAAAATGATTAATGGTACTCACAGAATGAACACCCCTTTTTTATTCTCAATTGGAATTTGAGATTTGACGAAGTTTATATAAAAGGATTGATATCCTGAAATATTTTTAAGTCAGATGAAATTCTTAGAATTAGAAAAAATGGGTGTAACAAGTTACCTTATCTACGGTTTACATCATTTAGCATTTTGATATACGATTACTGGAGAATCTGCCCTTAACAATTGGTTGTGCTTTCCACTCACAAAGAAAGTAAATGTACTGAAATATAACCAAAAAAACAAAAAATACTATCATATTGTGAACATAATACCTAGATGATACCAGGAGTACCAACACCAACATATTATTCCATATATGTAAATAGATAGAAGTATATATGAATACGATATCAAATTTGATTAATTTCAAATAGTTACTGTTTTGTATTGATCTGGCATGTGTTTTTTCCTTTGAAGACTAGAACTTATTATAATCTAATGATAAATCAGACACTTTCCTCATCAATGACACTTGGCAATTACTGACACCTTTGGCATCTTCGAAATAGTCTTGAATTTTAGCGGTAAAAAGTCTATCCATTGTCCTAAAATGGACATACAATTATACAATTATTCTTTTACTTTTCCAAATTAGGAAATACAATGCCAACCTATTACCAATTTAGGACATGATCAAAACACTCTCATTGACCATCACTAAGGACGAATGTTATGTTAAATAGTTCAAAATTTGGCATCTCAACAAGAAATCTTTAAACTGTAAATTTAAAGATTTAAGTAATAAAAGCTGACATGAATGAGAGGATCTGGTCGATCAAGGATAGGCACTCAAGGAAGATTATTGATCGAGTGGTTCAGAATTACTTTCTAAAGGATCTGTTTTGTTGAAATTGTCAGTTTTGTGAGAGGTGATCGCTAAAAACAATTAGTATTTTTTTTTTTACTGTTTGTTTATTTTTTTAAACTAGATTTCAAAATTGAGGGAAGTCACTGGAGATCTAGCTTTTATATTATCGATTCACTGGACATTGCTTTGATTTATAGTTTAATCTCAATACTTAGATCTTAAACTGGGCTCATATTTTTATTAAAGGGGAGAAATCACGTTTGATAATATTAGTTGTAGTGATTTGAAATAACAGAGAGGGAAGGAGATAACTAGAGGATATAATTATTAGTATACAAGTATGAACGTAGCATTACCTTCGATTCAACTGCCGGTTGATTACAATCAATTGTCCTCTGAAATTGATGATTTTTTATTGCACTTTAAAGAGGATGTAGTGGCAGTAAAGGAAAATAATGGTAGTGAAATGGAGGATATTACCGAAGATGGAGTGGGAAAAGGTCCGAAATATATGGCTTTGTTACAAAAAGTCGCCAATAGAGAATTGAAAACAGTAGTGATAGAACTAGATGATATTTTTAAGTATGAGGCTGAAAAGCTTTTTACAGGTGTAAGCTCTGGATCTAACTTATTATCCTCTATCGAAGAAAATGCCAATCATTTCACCGAATTGTTCTGTAATGCAATTGATGGCATCATGCCCCTACCTACAAGAGAAATGGATTATAAAGATGATGTCTTAGATGTCATATTGAATCAAAGAAGATTAAGAAATGATAGGATGGTTACTGATAGAGAAACCGAAATTAGAGGTGAAAACTTAATAGAAAATGATGCCGATCCTACTTCTACCATAGACATTTTAAGAGATGCAGCTGCCGAAGAAGCTGATTTATTCCCAGCTAATTTAACTAGACGTTACTTTTTATATTTTAAACCTTTGTCCCAAAAACATGCTATGCGTAGAAAGCGCTTTAAATCCACCAGCGCAGCACCATTATCAGTTAGACAAATCAAAGGGAATTCTTTAGGTAAATTGATTACGGTTAGAGGTATAGTAACAAGAGTTTCAGATGTTAAGCCCTCTGTCATGGTCATTGCATATACCTGTGATCAATGTGGTTATGAAATTTTTCAAGAAGTCCACTCAAAGACTTTTACTCCATTGACAGAATGTACCTCTAGAGAATGTGTACAGAACCAAACAAAGGGTCAATTATTTATGAGTACAAGAGCCTCTAAATTTAGTGCATTCCAAGAGTGTAAAATCCAAGAATTGTCACAACAAGTTCCGGTCGGTCATATCCCAAGATCTTTGACTATTCACATAAATGGTTCTTTAGTTAGATCGATGACTCCAGGTGACATCGTCGATATTACAGGTATTTTCTTACCATCACCATATACAGGTTTTAAAGCATTAAGAGCCGGTCTATTGACAGAAACCTATCTGGAGGCACAATATGTTCGTCAACATAAAAAGAAATTTTCATCATTTGTAATGAATTCTGAATCTGATGAGCGTATTCAATCGATCAGAAGTCAAGGCAATGTTTATGAAGTTCTTGCTAAATCCATTGCCCCAGAAATCTATGGTCATCTAGATGTTAAAAAAGCACTTTTGTTACTATTAGTTGGTGGTGTTGAAAAGAGAGTAGGTGATGGTATGAAGATCAGAGGTGATATTAACATTTGTCTGATGGGTGATCCAGGTGTGGCCAAATCTCAATTGTTGAAAGCTATCTGTAAAATTACACCAAGAGGTGTTTATACAACTGGTAAAGGTTCCTCAGGTGTTGGTTTAACAGCAGCCGTCATGAAGGATCCAGTCACAGATGAAATGATTTTAGAGGGTGGTGCATTAGTGTTAGCTGATAATGGTATCTGTTGCATTGATGAATTCGATAAAATGGATGAAAGTGATCGTACTGCGATTCATGAAGTCATGGAACAACAAACTATCTCGATTTCTAAAGCTGGTATCAATACCACTTTGAATGCAAGAACATCTATATTAGCAGCTGCCAATCCGTTGTACGGTAGATACAATACTAGATTGTCTCCATTAGAAAATATTAACCTTCCTGCAGCACTATTATCAAGATTTGATATTTTATTCTTGCTACTTGATTTACCAGATGTGGAAAAAGATGCCAAATTGGCGGAACATGTTGCTTACGTTCACATGAACAGCAAACAACCAGATTTGGACTTTACCCCAGTTGATCCTTCATTGATGAGAGAATATATTGCTTTTGCAAAAACTAAGAGACCTATTATGAGCGAAGAAATAAACGATTTCTTGATTAGTAATTATGTTAGGATGAGACAAGATTCTAAGAGAGATATGGATTCAAGATTCTCATTTGGTCAAGCAACCCCAAGAACCTTATTAGCTATAATAAGACTATCCCAGGCACTAGCCAAGTTAAGATTATCTGATACAATAGATATTGAAGATGTCTCTGAAGCGCTAAGATTATTGGATAGATCGAAAGAATCGTTATATGACAAGGGACGTGGCACAAGAGCTGAAGAAAATCCAACCACCAAAATCTTCACAGTTATTAAAAAAATGGCTCAAGAAGGTGGTCAGGATTTAAGAACTCTATCATATGATAATATCGTCAAGACCATAAGAGGTAGAGGTTTTACTATGTTACAACTGAGCCAATGTATTGAAGAATATACATATTTAAATGTTTGGCATTTGATTAATAACGGTGATATGTTAAAATTTGTGGATGATGAATATAATGAAGAGAACGGTCAATATGTACCAACTGTAAGCTCACAACAGGATACTTCTGAACATGCACAAGAGATTCTGCCCACTGATATAGATGAAGAGATGGGCGACTAATGATTGGGATTTCTGATTTGTATTATATATCTTTCCAAGAATAAACTTGTAGTTTAAATTTTCAAATTTGTATTATAACTGGTTTCAATAATATTTAATTCTCATAAATAAATTAATTCCCTGCTAATTATATATAGATATAAACAAATATCGAGTTCAATAGACCTTTTCATGCTCTTTTGTTCAGCTTGATATCTTTTTATAATTTGTTCTCTCAATTTCTCTTTTATCACTTCGGAGTAAGCCCTATAACTAACTATCCAAGATTTCAAAACATTAATTATTTTAGAGTAGCATCTTTGAATCTCAATCGTTTCATTCAACTTTGATGGAAGTTGTCTTTGTATAAGGCTGATTATATTCTTTGACCAGGATCAGGTATAATAGAAGGTATAATAGAAGGTATAATAGAAGGTATAATATATATTTGAACACAGAGGGAGTAAAGTTGGCGAAGTCTACTATATATCAAGGTTAAGGATGACCAAACCAATTATATCTTTAAAACCAAGTTATAATTCTGTTATAAGAGGGTGTCCAGGATTGCCGGATACTTTACCAAGAATCGAGTGTGAATTGCGAATACGATCGAATGATGGGAAACCATTCAGAATTGAAAAGATTGAGATAGTTATGAAAACGATAGAATCCCTCAATTCTTCCCATTCCTTTAGCTCTAAACCAAAGTTTGAAAAGACTACGGTTCATTATAAAAAAAACGTCAAACTTTCAGATAATGTACTAATAGGAATAGATATCCCTGTAACAATTGGGCTGCCAGATGATATTAAGGAGACCAATTTTAATAATACTTTCGGCAAAACAATCACACTTCTAGAATGCAATGTTCATTATAATAACATCAAAAAGGAGTCCTCAAAAGGAGATACTTCTGTCCAATCGTACATTGAAGTAATTAACGTTGAAAGATATATCTATTTGGCTTCAAGGAAATTATTTCCACCAACTCGCAGGAAGTTTTATTCTCCAGATAAGAAATTTGTTGTTATGGTCAGCATCGATAACCCTTGTGTTACAACAGATGATCTATTACGGTTACACTTGGAAATCAAACATAAAAATAATCAAAGTGGATCCATTTCTTCGTCATCTCAAAAAGGTATCTTTAATAAGAAAGTAAAACTTAAATCAATCAATTATGAATTAAAAGAATACTTAGAAATAAATGATACAAATATTCTAGACTCCAGGGAAAATGTATTGAATACCGCAGTTCATCAAACAAGTGAAGTACTTTCTTCTAATCCAGTGAACGTATCTTCTGATATTAGAGTCTTTACCAAGAATGAATATTTCAAAGAGTTTGAAACAACTATGCAGGAGCCTGCATTTTTATTCAAAGTGCCACATGACAATCCAAATCATTCTGATTTAAAAATGAACCAAAGTTTGGATACAAAATTACTTCAAAATAAAACGAATGGTCTAATACCATTTCAATACCATACATCCATAACAACAAGTGGTCAATTATATACAATCAATCATGCATTAGATATCAAATTCAAAATAAGTAATGGGAGAGATTTTGAAATACGATACCCGGTTGATGTTTCTCCATGGCCACGAACACAAATCAAATATATCGAGCAAGTAATTGATCAAGAACGAGAAACTGCAAAATTTGCGACGCAATTTTATGAAGGTTATGGTGGAATTAAAAGAAATAAGCATACAAATCTATTGGATTATCCTTCGTTACCACCAATGGTATATGGGACAGACGATAAAACATCACAAAAGTTAAATATACTTTACGATACACAACATAAAGTACCTCAAAGGATACCATTGATAGAATAAATTAAATATAATTCAATTGTCACTTAGCAACTAAAACGCAATTGTAAAATTTTAGTTGAAAGCTGCTATTAGTGCAAAGTATCTACGAAAAGATATCACTTTTACTGGTTAAAAAATTCTTTTATTTATAACTGAAGTTAGATATTACCAATCATCACCACATTAAGTTAAATATTAATATATAATACGATATTGTAATATAGTTGTTGTGTGTCATCTCACTAATAGTTTACCTTTATGGGTTTTTCTTGTCGCATTCGTTTGACCCTTTAAAAATCTCACACATGAAGTAAATGAAATTTTATATTTAAGCAGCCAAGTATGCCAATAATTTGATCTAATAGAGCAAGTATTATTCGACAAATTAGATAATAATTATTCGAAGGAGTGTAGATTGATGATTAATATGCCAAACTATCATTCCACTTTAAATGAAGAAATAGTTCTGTTTGAAAATACTGTTTCATTGAAAGAGAAAGAAGCTATTGAAACCTTATCAGATATCTATTCCATAATAATTGCTATTGATCAAGTCGAAAAGGCATATTTAAAGGATTCCGTTAGTAATGAAGAGTATACAAGCACAGTGAATAAGCTTCTCATACAGTACAGGACGTATTTATCTAATGACAATGAAGATCTACAGAGACTTTTTGGTGATTTAAATGCGTTTAAAGAGAGGTATAATATTGTCGCTCCAAATGCCATAACAAGATTAGAAAGAGGTATTCCAGTGACTGTAGAGCATGCTATTGAATCTAATTCTCCCAATGCAGAAAGTGGTGGCAGTAGCAACATTGCTAATAACGCAAAGGGGAAGCATATCGCTGAAGCCACAGGTAACTTTATTACAATAATGGATGCATTAAAATTAAATTATAAAGCTAAAGATCAATTACATCCTTTAATGGCAGAGTTACTATTATCAGTTAACAGAGTAACTCAATCAGATTTCGAAAATAGAGGCAAGCTAATTGAATGGATAGTTAAAATTAACAAAATGAAGGTTGATGCTGTTTTAACAGATACAGAAGCAAGAGAATTACTATTTGATTTGGATCTAGCCTACAAATCATTTTATGCTCTTCTTGGCTAATTGACTTTAATTAAATTATATAATTATATGTTTATTGGAACGGGAACTAATCTTCATCAACCTCAACATCATTATCAACCTCAACATCATTATCATCATCATACGTATCTTTCTTTTTAGATCATTTGTTTGTATTATTTTATATTTATATACCATGCATCATGCTTTTTTAAAGTAACTATATTTTCAAATTCCAGGATTCTTATTCCCTCTATTTAAAATCTTCTTGCCCTTAATTTTATTCCGGAACTGTTCAAATAATTTTAAGGTTTCTAATTCTCTTTCTGATTTAGTATCGGTATCAATTAGCAATTGCCCACCATCATTTGAAGTTCTTGTTTCTTCATCATCAGGGTTATCCTGATAAGTCTTTGGTACTTCCTGGGGAGTTTCAGAATTGTCTTTTGCCGGCGTGATTTCAATTGTGGACTCTTTTGTTTGATCAATAACTATACTCTTCGGTAATTTAATTTTCATCTTTTTTGGAACTGGTAATGAAATAGATCCATCATCATCTTCATCTTCATAATCTTCTTCTGTATAATCCATTTTTAATTTTACTGCCCTTTTCAAACTTTTTTGTACTTTCTTTGCAGAAGAATTAAAGTTACTTGCAACCGGGGTAGTGTTTCCCTCCAAATCTTTAAAATAGGGTATAGTAACTTCAATATCAGTAATATCAGCAGGATATAGAAATTTGTTTGAATTTTTTTTAGATTTCTCACCGTTGCAAATTTCTCTAAAATTGTAGATGGTTTGATCAACTATTTTACCTATTAAAATTTTCCTTTTCCCATCACACTTTTCACTTGTAGTGACAAACCATAATCCGGCATCTATATCCCAACCTAATAAACCCTCTCTATTGAATAATAACCTTGAATTCGACTCCATTGCTATCGAGTCCTTAAATTTAGTGTCTCCATCAAAATCAATATATAATTTTGATCCATCCTCACCGAACTCACCCAAGGAAGAACCTACCCAGAACTTCGATAAACACGTTTCAATAAACAGTTTACTTGCAATTGGACATTCTTTTGCCCATAATTCAACATTTAAATTACCCTTTGATGTATAGATAATACATTTTGCAGTCGTCTGTGGCTCCAGATTCACTGACATTATAAAATATCCTTCAAAAATAATTCAATTATACCATTTCTTCTTCTATCAAGTAAAACACCTTAAATAAAACCTGATCAATGACAGAGTCATTACTGTTATACATCTTATACTAAAATTGCAATCGTTGGCAATACTTTGATGTTTTTTTCAATCACCTCTTGTTTGTTCGACTGTTTCGATATAATTTTTCAAAGTGAAAAATTATTGAAATATGAAATATTTAAAATATAATAAAGAATTAGTTTGTTATAATTGACTACTTTTAATTATTTAAAGATGGTTACAATGTGTTAGTTTTAGTTTAAATATAGTATTTAGAGTGACCAATTGTGATAAATTATTCTCAGGTAGTTAGAGGTGTACTATGTTGAGTTTGTTAAAATCTTCTACAAGAATTGCTGCTTGTAGGGCTTTGCCAGTTCGTTCTGTTATCAGACCAAATGTTATTCAAAGACATTTGAGTTATTCTAGAATTTTATATGATGGCAAAAATAAACCAGATGCTGAAGGAGATACTTCTGCCTCCAAGAAAGGTGATTCTAAGGCGCAATCGATTTTAACAGATGATATGTTGTTCAAGGCTGGTGTTGATGTTGACGAAGGTACTAGTGGTAAAGTTGAACATTCTGATGAAGCTTCTTTTAGCCAAGAAGGTTCTTCTGAGAGTGGTCATACTAAGAAGAAGAGAAAGAGACAGTCCTCAACTGATATTAAGAGAGAAAAATATGCTAATTGGTTCTATATTTTCACCTTTTCCTCATTAGCTGGTGTTAGTTTATATATGACAAGAGACTGGGAAGAAAATGAACCAAAAGAACTAAAAGATGCCGTTGCTAATGGCTATACTCCAGGTTTGATGTACAAGAGATTTAAGGCTAGATTCAACAACTTGTTCAATTATTTCCAAGAACCACCTTTCCCAGATTTGTTACCACCTCCACCTCCACCTCCATATCAAAGACCATTGACTTTAGTTGTTTCTCTAGAAGACCTTTTGGTCCACTCTGAATGGACACAAAAGAATGGTTGGAGAACAGCTAAAAGACCAGGTGTTGATTATTTCTTAGGTTATTTGTCTCAATATTATGAAGTTGTCTTATTCTCTTCAAATTATATGATGTACTCTGAAAAGATTGCTGAAAAATTAGACCCAATCCATGCTTTCATTTCATACAACTTATACAAGGAACATTGTGTTTACAAAGAGGGTGACCATATCAAAGATTTATCCAAATTAAACAGAGATTTGGGTAAAGTTATTATAGTCGATACTGATCCAGCTAGTTATAAATTGCAACCTGAAAATGCAATTCCTATGCAACCATGGGATGGTAAAGCTGATGACAAATTAATGAGATTGATTCCGTTCTTAGAATATTTGGCTACCCAACAAGTTAGTGATGTTAGACCAATTTTGGAGAGTTATCATGATAGAAACGCAATTCCAGAAGAATTTGATGAGCGTGTTCGTAAATTGAAAGAGAAGTTCTATAACGATGAAAAGAACAAAGCTGATTCCAACTGGGTTCTGAAAATGTTAAACATTGCAGGTGTACCACAATCTACACAAAAGACTAAATTTCCATTAGATATGATCCGTGAAGAAGGTGAAAAGAATTATGTTCGTTTTATGAAATTGATTGAAGAAGAGAAAGAAAAGATTAAGATCCAACAAGAACAAATGAGTGGTCAAACATTCACATTGAAGGATTATGTTGAAGGTAACATACCTACACCAGAAGAACAATTAAAGATGCAAATGGAAAAGCAGAAAGAAATAGATGCTATTTTTGAAGATAAAAAGAAGCAAAACCAGAATGAAACAAACAAATGAAGATAATTAATCCTCAAATGCTAATGTCCAATGACCTTTTATTTTAATGTACCTCATCTTAATTTCCTTGTTTCTATAATAATGGTACTAATCTAACGAATATTTAAATCATATGAGAAGGAATAAAAATATAGTATAATATATATATTTGTAAATAACTAAGAATATTTATATATGATATATATGATATATCATATATAAATGCAAGATATAAAGTAATTTATCATGTAGTGATAGCTTAAAGTAGTGTCATTCTGTATTAATCAACGAGTGTTCCACATTACCAGTAAAACGTGACCATTTCAATTTACCTTCAGAAGTCACATTATATATATATATATATAGTGAGAGAGATACCAAAATTATAAAATAAATAGACCATTGATAGAGGAAAGAAGCATAGAAAGTCCCCTACATTTGAAACAAGAAAGAGGTATATAGCATTTAATCGAGTAGTATAAACAGATCTGTCTATGTCGCCATGTGTTTATTGCATCAATCACCAACTAGTTAGAACTATCGAGTATTACAGTAGATTCTTTTACAACGCTCGACAAGAAAGGAAGTAATAGCATCCCATCTGGTTTGCCAACTCATACATAGATAGAAGCAAAGTTTGGATAGAACAAAAAAAAATACAAACAAACTCTGCAGATGAACCCAATCGATGCAAATTCTATAGCAAGACAAAAAAATGTTTATCTACAACATTATCTTGAGATTCTATCGTATCTTGCTAGTACATAACGCAACAAGAATAGAGAGAGCACCAACCATCTCAAATGTCAATACATTAACTATAAAAATAACCACGAATTCAGAGAAGAGAAAGAATAAAATTAATAGAACCATCAAGTTATAGAGAGGTCTAAGTCCAAAGTATATTGTATTGTACATTACAACAGATAGCTTGTCTTGGTGTAGCTTAAAAACTGGCCATGTTTATAGAACAAATATGGCAATGGCCCAGCCACAGGAGATAGGTAGAGGCAATAGGATATTGTAATGTATTCTAGTCATATATAGCATAAGAGAAATTACGTTACGTGAATAGCCATCTAGCTTTATCTTCCCCTCCCTTCTCACTACTCACTTCTCTCTTCTCACCTTCCCCCAAATGGTGATTATTACTACAACTTGAAAAGTTTTCAAGCAACACACACTGACGACAACTTCAGTTATATCTGTAATTGGGAGAGACCCTACTAAAGAAGACAACTAGTTTGATACACATCCAAGAGATCCATCTAAAGAACAAGCAAGAAAATTTTTTATTTTCTTTCCAGTGAACTACTCTCAGAAACCTTTGTTAGATGGATGGGATAAAATGAAATAAGTGATATCTCTCTCTTGCAATCGCAGTTGCACTTGTAGCTATTGTCTTTGACGTTGCCGTTGTCGTTGTCGTTGCTGTTGTCATTGTTGCTATACTTGCTGATTTGTATTGATTATTAACACTGACAAGAATTAGAATCAGAAAGAGAGCAAGAACAAGCAAGAATTAGAATTTGAATTAGAATTAGGAAGTAAGTACAAACAGGATAGCAGATTACCGACAATATCCTGGTGTTTGATGGGAAGGGGTCCGTTCCTAGCTCAGTTATTTAGGTATATATTTCCAATTTAAGTTAATTGTATACTTTCTCTACCACCAGAGAGTTGATACAGAGAGTTATCTAGAATAGACTATCAAGAGAGAAGTCAAGTCTTGGGTAACATGAGAACACTAGCTTTAACAAGCAAATGTATGTATCGTTGTATACTCAAGTGGTTTGGTTGGCAAGTAATACTTTATAAGGTTGATTAATCAGTCTATTTGTCTACCCATTTTTTTCATATGAAAAAATTATGCCACCTATTACTATTATAACATACCTTCATTGATGGCTAAACTTTAAAATTTTTCATCATTAGTTCCTTTTTATCTCTTGACCTCTAATATATATATATTTATTAAAAAAAAGCATTATATTGAAGTTGATTTAAAATATATATTATCCTTTTCTATATTTGTGGGTTTAGTTCTTTTCTATTCAAATTTTTTATTATCAGTTTCTTCTCTTATCTTGTCTTTACCTTCAATATTAATTTTAATTTTCAAATTTGATTCATAATATATCTAACCAACTCTATAAGAAGAGTGAGAGTGCATTGCTTGTTACATCCACTGAACGATGTCTGAAGAAGATACTAAGACAAAAAAAGTTGATCAACGTTCAAACAATGGTACTAATTATAAGTTTTCATTAATTAGTATATTGATTGCTATTGTTTCAATCTTTGTCATCTACTATAAGCAAAATTCAAATTTAACTATTGATGAAAATACATGTGGAGAAATTTGTAATAATGTTAATAAAGGAATTGATTCAACTGTAGTTACCACTGAAACTGTTACCACTGAAAAAATTATAACTTCTGTTATCACTGAAGCTGGTCCTGTTGTGACTAAAGTTATTACTGAAGAAAACAATGTCAAAAGATCAACTGAACAACAGGATGATAATGATGATATAGTTTATCTTGATTTAGAAGGTACTTCAAAAATGATTAATCTAATCCGTCCTGATGACTATCAAATGCCAGCTTCTGATGTTGCTCAAGGTGTCGTTCATCCAGAAGATGATGGTATTAGAGAAAATGCTGTTTTAGTTACATTATGTAGAAATAGTGATTTATTGAATCTTCAAAAAACCATTAGAGATATTGAAGATAGATTCAATCATAGATACCATTATGATTGGGTCTTTTTAAATGAAGTCGAGTTCAGCGACGAATTCAAAAGAGTCACTTCAGCTTTATGTTCTGGTAAGACTAAATATGGTTTAATCCCAGAAGAACAATGGTCTGAACCAGATTATATCGATGTTGAAAAATTTGAAAAGATTCGTGATGAAATGTTCGATAATGAAGTCTTATATGGTGAATCAATTCCATATAGACATATGTGCAGATACCAAGCTGGTTTCTTCTGGCAACATCCTCTATTAGATGAATACGATTACTATTGGAGAGTCGATTCTGATGTTAACATCTTCTGTAATATCCCATATGATATATTTAAATTTATGAGGGTTAACCAAAAGAAATATGGTTTCATTTTATCCCTAACAGAATACGAAACTACTATCCCAACATTATGGAAACATGTGAAAGGATTCCTTGACGAACACCCTGAATACATCAATGACAACAATTTAATTGATTTCATTTCTGATGATGATGGTGAAACTTTCAATGGTTGCCATTTTTGGTCTAATTTCGAAGTTGCCGATTTGAATTTCTTCAGATCCCAAGCATACCAAGATTTCTTTGAATACTTGGATAATACTGGTAATTTCTTTTATGAAAGATGGGGTGATGCACCAATCCATTCCATCGCTGCTGCATTCTTCCTGGATAGATCCGAATTCCATTTCTTTGATGGTTTAGGATTTTACCATCCAGATTTCTTATCCTGTCCAACTGAAGAAAATATTAGAATTCAAAACCAATGTACATGTGATCCAGAGAAAGACGTTACTTGGTGGACTTTTTACTTTTGTACAAGACAATATTTTAGAATCAATGATTATGAGTTACCACCGGATGTCAGTCCAATTTAATCAATTTGATTACAAGCATTTGATGTATTGCTGATGAAAATTCCATAACTCTGACATCTTCATCATCAATATATTTATTCATAGATAAAAACAGAAAGAGACAGAGTAGAAATGGTGTTGAAATCAACACAGAAACAAACACAAGTAAAATGAAATAAAATAGTCAGATTATGTAATTTGCTTATATTAATTAATACATAATATTTTGTCACTGTATTATAGCTTAATTTCCAATAATAAAAATCTATAAAATTGTAATTGAAGAGAAAAGAAAATCTATCAAAAGTTAATAAACATGAATCAATCATGCGAAATATCTATTAAAATTTTTGAATTAAATTGAAATTGTACAGAAATATATCAAATGAATACATTGATTCACACATATATATAAACGATATTATTCTTAGGAAAAAAATATGCTTCTTTTGTAGTGATAATCTTTATATCGTTTTAAGTATCCTTCTTTTTAGAAGAAGAAACTGAATAATTCTAAAATACCACCACCAACAATTAAAAATGCTAGAATGTAAATCCAGATCTTAGAGATGGGAGTGCTTTCTTGAGAAGAACCTAACTTTGACTTTTTCTTACCTAACTTTCTATGTTGCTCATTTCTCTTAGCAAACTTTTCGTTAGCAGCTCTTTTTTTCAATAATTGATTAGCCATTATTAATATAGTTTAATTTAAATCAGTCTAATATAATCTAATATATTTCTTTCTACTTAGTTGAACAATAATCGAGTTAAGCAATGGCAAAGAACTACAATTGTGACCTAAAAAAAAGTTGGCAATCGCTATGATCAAGATCTCTCTCTCTTTACACACTCTAATCTACTTACTTCTTGAAACGAACAAGAACACTAACAAGAACAACTAAAAGAAAACAAGGTGATTTTTAAATGATTCAAATAAAAACTATTATATACGTTGCAATCAATTAAATCAGAAACATTTCTTTACATCACTTCAACTGCTTTCGAACTTCGAACTTCGAAAGCTTTAGAAGTTTGAAACACGTATCGAAATGATGGTGTAGCTGCTGGCAATGATGAATATCAAACTTTATTAGCAGCAAAATAGTACTAATCGAAAACATCCGATCGATGTCACGAGTGCTTGACGAAAGTTCGATATTGCTTCGAAAAATATTGGGAAATGCGGGTAATATGAATGGGGGAAGATATTGACTTAAATGGCAAGGTTAGACTGTATGAGGAAAGAAGCTGGAATGGTTGATTTGATTGGTCTTTAATGGGTAAAAATGCACAGATACAGCAATCAATTATCCTATCAGTAAATACACATATTAGAGTAAATTGTAAAGATCGATTTATTGATTGACTTTTAAAACAATGGAAGACTTGGCAACTTTAATGAGGAGCGTATGCCTTATTTTATTCAGACGTTTAAAAGGGAAGGAATCCTTTAAGAGTAGGATGAAAAAAAACAACATAATTATGCAAGAGACGATTATGTAAGAGAGGTAGTATCGACTCGAAAATATATACTGATCTTAAACTATCTTGTTATATTTTTTAATGCAAAATTTACAGCCATATGCTTACTTACCAAAATATATTGTTATTGGGGTTAGGCTGATTATCGAAATTGAACAATGCAAAATAATGGATATGTTGGAGACAACAATACACATATGAATTATTTAATTGATTGAAAATATGTATGAACAATATCAAATATAATTCATTAAACTTAGTTTAATTTCTTGATGGAAAATGGAATTGGGAATTCAAGAGGAGTCTCAATTCATTATTGAGTTTATTATTTTAATGTCAGTGAAGATGTAGCAGCAGTACTGTTATAAATTTTCTTTTCAACTTCGTAAAATCAACCTCTCTTGTGGATCAGTAACAAAAGGAAAGCCCACAAATTAGGGTATCGTCAAATATTGTTCATAGCTACATGTATAAGTTATTAGAAATTGGAAATTGTCCTATATCGTTGACAATTTCATTGTAACGAGCAGCTAGCTGCCCAACAATTGTAATATGTTGCAAAATCGATATAAAGCTCAAATGACAAGGGAAAGTCAGAAAAAGAAGAGAGAAAAGAGAAAAGAGAAAGAGAGGTTGCATCGTCGAAACAATAATCCATCTAAGTCAATTAATCAACTACTCTAATAGGAGCTATCTTCTTGGACACTGTATATTTATAAATATATATAAATAGATTAATTTAATTATATTCTCTTCAATTGAAATACATTTGTTGAAAGCAATTAATTTAAGCTTCTATTAAAACTTAAAAATTTAAAGATAATTAATATATACATAACCCGCTAAAATATACATTTTAGTGACAATGTATCGAATTTTATCTGTGGTTCTACTCTTGTTCATTAATGCTTCGCCAATTGCTTCTGATGAAGTCACGGCAGCAGTCTATTCCCATGTCGGTTATTCAGGTAATTATTTGGATGTCACCAATATGGATGAAAATACATGTCAGTGTACTCAACAACAATATTATAGTTCAGGAAATTTAGCTCCTTTTAATGAAGAATTATCCGTTCACTTCAGAGGTCCAGTTAGATTATTACAATTTGGTGTTTACTATCCAAGCGGCGGCACTGTAAATAAACGTGAAGAGATTACCCCAGAAAAGGGTCACATTCATAAGAAGAAAACTGAAGAAGAAATTGCAATTACTTCAACTTTATTCAGTGAACTTTCTACCCCAAATCCTGACACTGACCAAGAAGAATTTGAAAAACGTTCTTCAACAAGTAGCGCTTGGCAACAATCATCATACTTTTCACCAGGTGTCACCAGCAATTGTGTCATTTTGAACCACCAAGGAGACTGGTCTAAATGTTTTGGTAAAGCTCTGTCATATTGTGCCTCCAATGGGGTTGATAGTGCTACCAGTCCACAAGCTTTAAACGATGTCACAGTTGGTTCTAATGCAGAATATATATTCTTTAGCGGCAGCCAATGTAGTGGTAACGACTGTGGATATTATCGTCCATCTAGTACTCCTGCATATCATGGATTCTCTGGCTCCGATAAAATGTTTGTATTTGAATTCTCGATGCCAGATGACACCAGTGGCAACACTGGAGTTGAAAACTATAATATGCCTGCCATTTGGTTTTTGAATGCCAAGGTTCCTAGAACTATGCAATACGGCCAGAGCGAATGCTCCTGTTGGTCATCTGGCTGTGGTGAATTTGATATTTTCGAAATAATTACTAGTTCAAGTAACGAATTGCAAAATGACATTCATGACCAGCAAGGTAGTCCTGGCAGCGCACAAGGAGGAGGAGGAACCAGTGGTACCTTCAGCAGGCCAAAAAGTCAAACTATGAAAGGTGCTGTAATTTTCAATGGTGATGACAGTACCATTCACATCGTGAAATTATCAGATGATACCAGCTTTGGTAGTGTAATTGATGCAAACACTGTCAATACTTGGTTAAGCGCTTCTGGTTCTTCAGCGTCGCTGCCATAATATAATAATTATACAACTTGATCATGTATATGTACATACATAAACTTTTGTAATTCATGTCAATTCATTATTTGAAATGTATCAATCAAATATAGTTTATTGTTTTTAACGTTTTCTAATTTTTTTTTTATTTATCAAAACTATATAGATTAGATATGCTGATATGCTATAAAATGAGATGAATGACGATTAAACACAAGCAATTTCGCCCTCAATCATCGAAGAGTGTATAAAAAAATCATAATAAATCATAGAAAACCAAAAAAAATGCCATAATACATAATAAAAATAAATGAATAACGATAACTATAACAGTACCGATAATGATAATAATACAATTTTTCACGAAAATGATTTAGACTTATTTACTTAAATCTGTTAGTTCTGGGTGATTTTTCTCTAAGTCTGCCAGCAAATTTAAGTAAGGTAAATTTGAATCTTTTCTTAATCTTTTATATTTCTTCAAATTTGGATCATTTATATTACTGTTAGCAACGTTATTGGTAGTTGGTTTTGTACTAGTTATTTTCTTTTGAGGACTTTGCTTTTTTGGACTTTCTTCCAATTCTACATTTGTATTTTTGTTTATAATTTTATGATAATCATCGTCTTTGGAAATTAATCCACTTTGTTGGAAATGGTCTGAAATCAAATTACAGAATTTTCTGAACCATCTAACCAAGAAGAATCTTGAAGAAGGAGAAGAACCAGAACCAGAGTTTGAGCCAGGACCGTTTTCCAAATCCTTTTGGGAGTTACTTCTTGAACATAACCAACAGTAGAATAAGTATTCACAGTATAAAACACCGAAAGCGAAGATGAAACCAGCGGCGACACAAGCTAATATATGGGAAGCCAATGATTTAACGAAGACAGCGTCATCCAAATGCCAAGAGGAACCCTTGGAGATCTTGAAGAAGGAGTAGGTATGACCTTTATAATCGGCAGGTTGTATGATCTTGACGATATTGTTTTCGTTTGCATCATAATTCACCGATCTTTTATATTGTTTCCAGATGATACTGATGAACAGAGGACCAGTGGAGGACATGATGGTGATGTAAGGGACAAACCAATTTCTGTTGTATTTTTTCAAAGAATTTAATACTTTCAAAAAGAAAGGATGTCTTGGAACGGAGCCCATGACATCGTTTGAAACACCAGTTGGAGAAGTTTTTCTTACAAAAGCAGGGGCAGTCAACAGAGGATCTAATCTTCTGTTACAGCCATCGTCCAAATCTATGTAGACACCACCGTAATGTACTAATACAAAGTATCTGATTGCGTCAGCTCTTTCGATTGGGTATTTGTAACTTTTGAAAGTTTCTAAAAACCAAGGGTATTCATTTTTAATAAACTGTAAAGCCATTTCATCGGTCCAAAGTATATATTCGTAGTCTGGATGTAAATCTATACATCTTTGTTGACCTTCTTTCCAATGTTCTGGAATTTCTTCAGTTTTGTAAGTTTGATGAATGATTTTTGGTATTAGTTGTGGTTTATTTAGTGCAGTTGAGTTAACGTTTGAAGTATCAGTGTTTGTATTGTAGTGTTCTGGATTCAATTCATGGTCTGTGAATGCGTCTTTAAAAGTGTCGTCGACAGCCAAAGTCAACAGATCAAAGGTAGTGTATAGGACTATCGTTAGGACGGATATGTTTGCCAGTAGTAGGTAAACCAGTTCTTTTTTCATTCTGGTCTAGATATATGTGTGTATGATGATAAAACGAGATGAGTAAGATGAATATGGATAATAGTAATAGTAATAATAATATTAATTGAGAAAAATAATAACACAAAATAATTGCAAAACTCTCTGTCTTGTATTAGTTTCTTGCAGAGAGGAGGGGGGGGGAGAGCAGTGGATGGGTATGAGAGTGTAAATGGTATACAGTTGAGTAGTATTGTATCTTGAAAAAAAAGACAAGTAATGTACGAATATACGGGAAAGGATGGGGGATAGGAAACAGTGAATTGAATTAGAGAGTTTATAATATATGTATATATATATATATGTGTGTATATATATATATACAAATATGAATTAATTTTAGATGGAAAGAAACAAGTTGATGGATGGGATCGATCTATTAAATCAGGATTGAGAGCTGAATGAAATAAAGCAAGAGTTAGTTTGCAGTGGGTTAGTAGAGAGGCAGACGAGGTGTGAGTATGAGCATGAGTATGAGTATGAGAGTATTGGCACAAGGCATAGGCATAGGCATAAGCATAGGCAGAAGAACAGTTTCTAAAAATTGAAGTTAATTTTTTTTTGAAATAAAACTCACATCAGACAGGAAGACATGTGTAGAGCAGAGCGTATCTAGAGAGAGGGACGAGAGAGGGAAGAGAATAGGAGAAGAAGCAAGCCCTCTCTGTTTCTGTTTCTGTTTCTGTTTCCCTCGCTTTCTGTGCTGAGGCTGGCGAAAGAGAGAGAGAGAGATTAATGGTCTAAAGTGTGTGGGCGTGGGCGTGTCTGGACGTGTCTGTGTGCTGGAGCGAAAAAAGCAAACAGCAAAAAAATACTCACAGAGACAGGCAGAGAGGGAGGGCAGGAGAGCAGGAGAGCAGGCTGGCTGGGTTTCTTTCTTTGGCTGAGCTGAGCTGAGCTGATTCCTTGTTTCTTTTTATAATTTCAGCTTCAATTTGCGTTTGCGTTTGCGTTTGCTTTTGCTTTTGGTGTCTTTTGGTGTGATTTGGCGCAGGTTTTTGGCAATTTCCCTCCTTCTGTATGCTGTCTTGGACGGTGCGGAGAAACGTCGGAGGGAGGGGGGAGAGAGAGAGAGAGTACTGCACCGGGCTGTCCTTAGTTTCTTTTTCCACTTCTTCTTCTTTTTTCATTATCAGTCAGTCACTCAAGCAGGTCAGCCAGCAGCAGCGGGAAAAAAAAATAACAAAAAATTAAATTGAAAAACAGCACACACAGAGAGAGAGAGAGAAGAGCAGGAAGCAGTTTTTGGAAAGGGTGGGAAGAGAAAAAGAAATGGGGTGGTTAGCGACAACAACGACAACGCGAAACGCAAAAGAAACGAAACACCTGTCCACGGAGACATCCTTAAGGCGACCACGCACAACAGACGTGTGTCTCGTGTTTGTTTGTTTGTTTGTTTTGGGTTTTTCGCTTTTCGTTTTTCGCTTCTTGCTCTTTTCGTTTCTTTTGGGCAGCTAGGTACTCTTCCCTGCAGCTGTTTTCAATATTTTTTTCTAGCAATACTGTTTTTTGTTTTTTCTGTTTTGCTATTACCTGCTCTTGCTCTTGCTCTTGCTCTTGATCGCAATCGCAATCGCAATCATCTTGCATGGTTGGCTGATCATGACATACGTGAGAGCCCCCCCCATTCTCTTCTTCTTTCCGTGGGGCCTAGGCAAGAAATGAAAAAAACATATAATTACAAAATGCGAAAGAAAAGGAAATACTAACTAGCATGGCAAGGCAAAACACACACACACACACAAATTAATTATTATCATTGAACAGCCTAGTGCGGCGAGAGAATTTTAATCTCAATGCAATGCTGTACTGTAGTCTAACGTAACTAAAGGGAAATCCACCCAGCCTGCGTAATATACCAAGCTACATTTTATTACATTTTATTATACTACTGTACTGGGTCGGTGGTTTCTCGCTAGAGAGGGAAATCAAATGTGAGGCAGAGTGGCGGTGAGACACAGAATCAACAAATCTCTCATCAGATCAGTTAGACGGCCCCCGCCTCGCCCTGTTGCTGCTTATCTCTCTAATTTCTCTTTTTCTCTGCTGGGCAAAGAGCTTTCCTCTCTCTAGCTCTCACACGGGCTGGGCTAGGCTGGGTTTCATTCCAGTTACAGTCTGGAAAAGATTTTATTTCCTGTTACCGGGCAAAGACGGAATAACTGGAAATATAGGCTGATGGATGGCAGGTCGTGGTGGGGGGGGGGGAGGAAACTGAAATATCTAGAATCAGCTAATTAACTATTCAATCAATTAGCTGATTATTTCGTGGTGGTGAAATGTGTATCAGTTGAGCTGTTTTTTAT